GTTTCTCTTATATATATATATGTATACATATATAGGAAATCCACATCGGGCTATCTGATGTGAGTACCGACGGGAATCAAACTCTTGAGTTTAGCTTTGTAAATCTGTAGACTTACCGCTGTCTCAACGGGGTCATTTGTAGATCATCCCTAAAGAAATCCAAATGTACATATGATATTAGTATTTTAAACTTGAACACATTCTGAAGCAGTACCTGCTGTCATAAAGGCTTTGTAAGACTTTGAACTGAATATTAACTGTCACTCTTATAATGCACCCACGGCTGAAAGTGCGGAACACATTCAGCGCTATAGCAGCACGAACCTTAGAACATCAGATTTAGAACCACTCCCAAGTGGGAAAGAGGGAAAAAATTATATTGCATGAAGTGAGTATTTTTTCTTTTAATTGCAGAGCCGCACAATTGACTATCTGTACTATGTTTGCCGCAGAGATCGAACCACGAATTTTAGCGTTATAAACATGTGCATGGTGGGCATATGTAAATGAAGCATCCTCGTTAAATCTGTTTACATAACAAAATTTATCATATGCACCAAAGTGGAACTTGTGTGCATTATTACCTCTGCCACCGAAGGTGGACGGAGGTTATATTTTCACCCCTGCATGTGCGTTTGTCAGCATGATTTTTCGCAACGGTTGAATGGATTACGACGAACGTCGGTATACATTTGAACTATGACCCAACTTATAGTGATTGTTTTTTGGAGGATCAAGGTCACAACAAGGTCACGAAAATCCAAAAAAATCAGAACCTGTTAAGATGGGGACTGATTTTTCACACTATTTTTTCTCTATAACTCAGTCAAAAATGATCAGATTTTGATGAAACTTGGTGAATATATGTAGAATATTATTCCTCATTGTCCTGAAAAAAATGGTCTGTGTCTTGATAACGACAGACAAACGGACACATTTTCGTATTTTTTAAGAGCCGAATATGATCAACGCTCTACTGAGTGCCCCTCTAGTTATAAAGTGTAATCCAACAGATAACGTATGTACCAATTTAATGTTTCAGTTCCTAACAATCTTAATATATTATCCAATAAAAATATATGATGGTGCATAAAAGTAACTTGTTTGATGTTATTGGTGTTGTTTTCTTCCTTTCAAAGTTACACAATCAGTTATCTGAATTCTGTCCACCACGGGGAATGGAACCTCGGATTCGTTGTAAGTCCCTAAACGTACCGCTGTCCAACTGGAAAACAGTTTATTTAATTAACCAATGATTTTGATTTAGAAGAACAAGCCCATTATTGATCTTTTGCTTTTGTTTGTTTGTTGTTAAGCGCAAAGCTACACAATGGGATATCTCTATTCAGCCCACGACGAGTACTGAAACCCGGTTTTTAGCGTGAAAAGCCCTCGGACTTATCACTGAGCCACCGTCTTTATGTCTTGTATCCTCCACAGCATATGCCAGTCTGGTCTAACTCTGTCTCTCCTCTTATTAGTCTGTTGGTTTTGGTAACCACTAGCGCATCTCTTAGGGTTGTTCACATGGAAAGATGGAGATGTTAAAAAGTTTGTTTGCTTGTTTGTGGTTGCTAAGCGCACCTATAATAGTAAAGGTTATCGTAGTCACTCACCAAA